CAAAGGTATCAGGTATACCGTAGGTGTTCAAAAACTGATTCTGTAAAGCACAACTTGCAGAGAGAGTGTATAAGGAGCAGGTAGGGAAAGCACCTGAAGTTGCAGAGTGCCTACTGTATGCCAGACACTGTGCCAGCTGTGGAACAGGGGTATTATTAGCATTGTACTGCTGTGGGCTGTCCCCGGTAAATGGGTGGTTAGATGGTTCGTGCATCCCAGGCTGTCACTGTGTCTCTCCTTTCCCTGGCCCCTTGGCCTCTCTCCTTTCTCCCTCCTTCCTCCCATCAAAATGGACAGCCAGAGCAGGGTCTGACACCAGTTTCATTCCCCATAGAGTCAGCCCAGGGCCCCATCACAGCTCTTGGAGGTATCTATAGCCGAACACTGGTTTTTGCCTCATATCAGGACACTTGGCTCCTGGTGAAGAATTTCAGGCATCCATGCAGCAGATAAGAGAGGCATTCAGGGGCTTGCGAGGAGCCCTTCAGGTTGCTAAAATCAGATCAAGTGTCTCCAACTCCTCTGCCTTTGTGCATATGCCTGCTTTTGTTTGTAGATGCAGTAGAGAGGTATTGGGACATTGTGATTCCCACTGTCAGAAGTTCCGCTGTTAGGTTTTTGTTTCCTCTTCCCCTCTAAGTATCTTTTAAAATGCAGAATCTTCCAGAAGGAGTAATACTGCAAGCTGATTCATCCCACTGTACTACCAGATAACTGTGGTCTCCTGAAGGGGGACCTATTTGAGGCTTTGTCTGTGAAAGGAGCTGGGAAGGAGGAGAGAGAGCAGGGAGTCTGCACTGTTGACTGGGGTCAGTTAGGGAAGGACAGGCCTGCTGATGTCTGACAGTGCTGGAAGAGGCTGTGACAGGACCCATCTGTGGGTGGGCCTGAAAATAGAGCCCCCTTACTAGACGGCTGCACCCTTCCTGGGCCCCTGAGCAGGAGGCCCTGGGGCTGCCAGCACCCTGCGTGTTAATGGGGCCCCCTCCCCAGAGGCCCGGTTCTTCCCGCCGCCTCCACCTGCACCGCCGCCGTCACCCGCACCCCTGGTTGCTTCTCCACTCTCTCTCCTTCACCCACACTCTTCTTTCCTCCCACAGCTAGGGAAGCTGGGCTTTAAAATCTTTTAGTCTTTCAGAATTTTAAAATCTTTTAAAGTTTCTTCCTGGCTCCAGCCTCCCTCCATGATCCCTCTAAGCCTACTGCCTCCTCCCCCACATCCGCCCACTGCCCTTTTGTCCCTGGCCCTGGGGTCAGACTTCAGTTCTCTTGCAGGGAAGTAATGAATGAGGCATTTCCTGCTAGATACAAGTAAGCACCTCACCTCTCTCGGCCTCACATCAAACCTGCAGCCATGAGCCGCCTATCTCCCTGGGTAGGTGACAGTGGGGCATGGTGGGGTCTGCTTCAGCACTTGGATGCCCAGATGGGATGTGAATGGGCACTGGCGATGTCCCTCCCCCAGCTCTGCCAGGCCTGTGTCTGATCTCTGATGGTTTGTATTTGTGCTGCTCCTTTCCCAGATCCTTTTTGTTTTTCTCTGAGAGTCTTGATTTCCTGAAGCCAGACGCTGTGCTGCCTCCCTCAGACTGGAGCTCCCTGAGGGCAGGGGCTGGGTGCCTCCCCTGTTAGACGGGAGATCTCCAAGGGCAGTGTCCATCCCCAACATATGGCCGGGGTCACTAAAGGTAGAAGCAGGTTCTTCCCCCTTTGAATGGAGGATCTGCACTGTGAGACTGTGTATTCCTTTTACAACAGGTGGTCTTTGAGGGAAGGTCTTTGTCCTCTCTATCAGACTGGGACATTTTAAGGATATGGTTGTGTCTCCCCTCAGACTGGGGCTCTCTGAGGACGGGGCTATGTCTCCTCCCCAGACTGGGGCTCCGTGAGGATGGGGCTGTGTTTCCTCCCCAGACTGGGGCTCCCTGAGGACAGAGCTGGGTCTGCCTCAGACTGGGGCTCCCTGAAGCAGGGCTGCCTGTCTTCCTTCCTCTTAGGAACTTGGTGCCACATTTGTTCTAGGGTCTGCTCTCCCCAAGTATGTGTGAGAGAGATGGGTGCTGGGTCTTGAAAATCAGGAATTGTAGCCAGTTACTGAGGTGCTGGCAGGGCCACTGCTGGTCACCACTAGTCCTCGTCAGTACTGTGATTTGGGGTTGGAGGCAGGGACATGGAACTGGGCTAAACTCGTCTCAACTCATCTCAAAGTCATGGATTTATCCAACTCTGTCCCAGGGTCGCTGATTAGAAAGACTGAGGGTGGCTGAGCAGCCCTCACTTTGGTGACCCTCTGTCCTATCCCTGGGCCATCAAGCCATATGGCAGTTGAGGAAGGCCCAGGCGTGTGTGTGTGTGTTTGTGTGTGTGTGGGTGTGTTTGGTGAACATGGGAAGAGGACGTGACTAACTCAGAGGGGTCAGTTCTGGGGGAGCAGGGATGACTTTCAGGGTGGGGAGGACTCAGGGGCATCTAGTGCTGGGCAGGCTTCTCACTCTGGGCCAAGGCTCAGCTGCCAGGTCTCCCCACCCCAGTGCTGCAGGGCCTTGTGTACCACTTCTGCACCACTGAAGGCCTCTGGCTGCACAAGGACAACTCCAGCCTGCCCTGGAGGGACCAGTTGGAGTGCGAGGAGTCCAAGCGAGAGGAGAGTGAGTTGAGGAGGGGTTCTGAGCCAGAGAGGGAGTAGCAGGATCTCAGCTTCATCAGAGCAGAGACCCTGGACTTCTGGTGGGCCCCCCTGTGGTCATCTCACCCATCCACCTGCCTCAGGGGTCTTTGCACACCATGCGTGCTAGTCAAATGTGGTGTGTGTTCACCTCTTTGGCCTTGGAACAGGGTCCAAGAGATCCAAGGACCATCATCACCTTAGGTTATTCTCTCCCTTGGCTCTGGTATCCCCATTGGGGTCTGACTTAGGGCTCCACCTCTGCCCTTGTCCCCTGGGAAAGAAGAATGTGGGAGAGAGAGGGCCATGGGCTGCCCCATGTACATGCATGTCCCTGTGTGCACGCAGAGCTCCCCGGGGGAGCAGCTCCTGTCCCTTTACGTCGTCTACACGGTGGGCTACGCACTCTCCTTCTCCACTCTGGTCATCGCCTCAGCCATTCTCCTCGGCTTCAGGTAAGGGGGTCCGAAGCCCGGGAGGGGGCTGCTTCTTCCTAACTCCCCCAGATAGAGGAGGGGGACCCCAAACCAAACAACAACGCAGCAGGTTCTTCTCCCAAAAACTGTCCAGAGAACCCTTGCCATGGAACAGGAGGTTGCAATCACAGGACACAACACTGTGCACTGCGTCTCATCTCCAGTGTGTAAATGTGTGCACACATGCTGCAGAAAAGAAACAAACAAAACACCACCACACGTGCATCACCCCCCAACAAACACCTGAATAGTGGATGGTAGGATTATGGGAAACCCTCTCCAGGAAGCGTGTGTAACTTAAGTAATCAAGAATTCAGTATGAGTTTAGAAAAGATCTCAGGGATTAGAGATTCTTCTCTCCCTGGAGCTTGTCGGCACCGGTGGGAAAGTTTTTCCTTAGGTCTAATGGATGAGACATTCCTTCCAGACAAGGAGCTGGGGAAGAGTGCCAGGTGCTTCCCACTCCTTCTGCAGGTGGGGGTGGGCCAGGGGAGCAGGGTTCAGGGTTGGGAGGGAATCAGACCTCAAGACACAGTACGAACAAAAGAGGGGTATTCCCCCTTTCACCCTCAAGGCACTTGGCACGGTCCTGTGCACACAGCACATAATAAATGCATTCACTCAATGAATAGTCTCCTCTTTTATTATGAAGTATTTCAGAGATTCAGTAACACAATGACTGACATTGCGATCACCCATCACACACTGTTCTGCCAAAGAAACAAAGCATCCCGTACAGTCGCACTTCCCTGCATAACCCTCTCTAATCAGGTCACTCTCCCTGCCCTGCCCCCACCAGAGGTAACCACTGAATGTGCCCCTTATAATTCCCACACATTCCCTTATACTTTGACCATATTTGTAAGTATCTATAAAAATATATAGCACGGTTTTGCATATTTTTAATAGCGTGTTGTACAGGTTTGTCTTAGTCCATTCCTGCTTCTATATCAAAATACCTTAGACTGGTGAATTTATAGGTCATAAAAATTTATTTCTCACGATTTGGGAGACTGGGAAGTCCAAGATCAAGGCACCACAGATTTGGTCTCTAGTAAGGGCTCGCTCTCTGCTTCCCAGATGTCACCTTCTCACTGCGACCATATATGGGGGACGGGGCGAGAGTGAAGATCTCAAGATCACGCCTCCTACAGGCCTCACCTCTCAATATGAGCACTGTTGCATTGCAGATTAAACATTTTTGCATTTTTAAAATTAAAGCATAATTGATTATACATATTTTTGGGGTACAGAGTTGAATATCAATACCTGTGTCCAATGTGTGGTGATTAAATCAGGATAATTCACATGTTCATCATCACAAAATGTAATAAATGCCTGTGTCCATTAACCAATTTCTCGCTAATCCTCCTTACTCTCCCCTTCCCACCTCTAATAACCACAGTTCTGATCTCTCCTTCTGAAAATTCAACATATTATTGTGATTGTTTTCTTTTATTTATTTATTTACTAGCTCCCACTTATGAGTGATGACATGTGCCTGGCTTATTTTGCTTAACATAATTTTCGCCAAGCTCAACATGCTGCTGTGAATGGCAGAATTTCATTATTTTTTTTTTCAGAATTTTATTATATTGCACTAAAGGAACAGTAGGATGGTTATACAATTTTCTCTCATTCAGTTTTGAATATCTAAAGTACTTGCAAATTCTTAAGAATACGTTTGCCACCAGATTATAACAGTAAGCATAACCAATTTCTTAGTAAGTAATGTCTTACAACCATTTAAAATAGCTTTATATGCATTCTTCACAAGTAATTCAGCATATATTTTTATATCACGTTCACTTATGCTTAAGAATTAAAGCAACTCTGATGGAAATATAGGAAATCTCTCATTCATGCAATTTTCAGGGATAATATTCAAGTCAAAGGGAAAAAAATCCCACTATTCTTATTTTTGTAAATGTATCCATATATAGTCATCTACAGCATAGACAGGGGTCATTTGGCAATGTCCAGACACATTTTTGGTTGTCACGCATGGGAGTGTGAGGTAGTACTGTCATGTAGTGGGTAGAGGCCAGGGGTGATGCCAAACATCCTACAATGTACAGGACAGCCTCCCACAACAAAGAATTGTCCAGCCCAGAATATCAACAGTGCCAAAATTGAGAAACCCTGACCTAGAGGAACAATGATATGAGCCTATCACGGTATGAAAGAAGAAAAATTGGTAACTGCAACCACCCTGTGAGGTAGAACTTCCTTCATTCATCCTGTTCAGATCAAGCAAACCAGCAAACAAAAGGCAGAGCACAGAGCTTATAAAAAATAAGGAAAGAAATAAATACAAACTCTGGAGAGACAATGAAGCCAATTAGAAATTTTTTTTACAAACTCACACAGCCTTACCCTCTTGATACCATCACTTTGTCAAGCAGAATGACGGTCCTTTACCAACTGAATGTGTGTGTGTCTGAAAACTTAGGAAGCAGCATCCTTGACCAAACTCTGCCTCTGGCTGCATGCCAGTTTGCTGCCTTGACAAGTACCACTGTGTGTCACATTGAATGTGTGTGAATTTGCTGGTGTGCTCTGTGCCACCACTTGTTACCACCATTCAAGACACTAAGTTATTCTTCAAGTGGATTTTAAAGTGTCAAGACCAAAATGCCTGCAAACTTTTTAGGCAGCAAAGTGAAATCGTACTTTCATTGTATTTTTCAAACTTACCCATATAGGTAGTAAAAAAATGCTAGAAGATAAAAAGCTAATTTGCACCATCCTTCTTTCTGACAATATGCTAGAATATCTGCATTCATGATGGTTGTAGGGTCATACAGTCCTGGTCCACTCATCATGGGTCTACTCATATACCTCCAAATATGATATGCCAAGAGGGGCATATTGAGACCCAGTGTAAGCCACTCTGCTGCACAAAGAAACATGACACAGAAGAAAGCATGGATGAGGTACTCTGGAAGTACAAGAGGATTCAGGGTATTACACTGGTCCATAGGATTCTTGTAATCAGTCTTCAGCTCATCAAATGCTATAATGTGCCAGATGGCGAAGAAGATAAGCGCGGCGGTGAGCAGCAGCGCCAGCATGTAGCAGAAGGCCGCGAACGTGAACACCATGGCCGGGGGCAGAATTTCATTATTTTTTATGGCTGAGTAGTATTCCATCGTGTATATACACCACATTTTCCTTATCCAGTCATCCACCGATGGACATTTAAGTTGGTTCAATATCTTGGCTATTGTAAATATAACTGTGATAAACATGGGATTACAGGTATCCCTTCCACATGATGATTTCCATTCCTTCGTGTGTATACCTGGTAGTGGGATTGCTGGATCGTATGGTAATTTTATCAGTAGTTGTTTGAGAAACCTCCATACTGTTTTCCATAATGGCTGTGCTAATTTACAGTCCCACCAACAGTGTAGGAGGGTTCGCCTCTCTCCATATCCTCGCCAGCATTTGTTATTCTCTGTCTTCTTGACAATAGCCAGTCTAAGTGGGGTGAGACGGTATCTCAGTGTGGTTTTGATTTGCGTGTCCCTGATGATTAGGGATGTTGAGTATTTTTTCATATACTTGTTCACCATTTGTATTGTCTTCTTTTGAGAAATGTCTGTTCAGCTCCTTTGCCCATTTTTTAATTGGATTATTTACTTTTTACTGTTAAGTTGTTTGAATTCCTTGTGTATTCTGCATATTTATCCCTTGTTGGATGTATAGTTTGCAAATATTTTCTCCCATTCTGTAGGATGTCTTTTCACTCTGTTGATTGTTTCCCTTCCTACAAAGAAGCTTTTTACTTTGATATAATCCCATTTGTTTATTTTTTCTTTTCTTGCTTGTGTTTTCGAGGTCTTATTCATAATGTCTTTGCCGAGTCCTACATCCTGAAGTGTTTCCCATATGTTTTCTTCTAGGAGATTTATAGTTTCAGGTCTTATATTTAAGTCTTTAATCCATTTTGAGTTGGTTTTGGTATATGGTGAGATGTCCGGGTCTAGTTTCATTCTTTCACACATGGCTATCCAGTTTTCCCAGCACCATTTGCTGAAGAGGCTGTTCTTTCCTCAGTGTATGTTTTTGGTGCCTTTGTTGAAGATCAATTGGTTGTAAGTCTGTGAGTTGATTTCTGGGTTCTCTATTCTGTTCCATTGGTCCATGTGTCTGTTTTTATGCTACTACAGTGCTGGTTTGGTTACCTTAGCCTTAGAGTATAATTTGAGGTCAGGTGGTATAATGCCTCTGGCTTTATTTTTTTTGCTCAGGAACACTTTGGCTATTCAAGGTTTTTTGTTGTATCATATGAATGTTAGGATTGTTTTTTCTATTTCTGTGAAGAATGTCTTTGGTATTTTGATAGAGATTGAATTGAATTTGTAGATTGGTTTGGGTAGAGTGGTCATAATTCTTCCAGTCCATGAACATGGAGTGTCTTTCCATCTTTTGGTGTCCTCTTTAATTTCTTTCAGCAGTCTTTTGTAGTTCACATTATAGAGACCCTTCACCTCCTTAGTTAAATATATTCCTGGATATTTTATTCTTTTGGCAGCTATTGTAAATGGGCTCGTTCCTTGATTTGTTTTTCTTTTGGTTGGTGGTGGTGTAAAAAAAAAATGCTACTGATTTTTATGTATTGATTTTGTATCCTGCAACTTTACTGAATTTGTTTATCAGCTCTAGGAGTTTTTGGTAGAGTTGTTAGATTTTTCTGTACATAAGATCATGTCATCTCCAAACAGGAAGAATTTGACTTTATCTTTGCCAGTTTGGATGCCCTTTCTTTCTTTCTCTTGCCTGAATGCTCTGACTAGTACTTCTAATACTATGTTAAATGGAAGCGGAAAGAGTGGGCATCCTTGTCTTGGTCCTGTTCTTAGAGCAAAATCTTTCAGCTTCTCGCCATTCAGGATGATGTTCGTGCTGGTTTTGTCATACATGGCTTTTATTGTGTTGAGATACTTTCCTTCTGTACCTATTTTGTTGAGAGTCTTTATCATGAAGAGATGTTGAATATTGTCAAATGCTTTTTCTGTGCCTATTGAGATAGTCACATGGTTTTTGTCCTTGATTTTGTTGATATAGTATATCATATTCACTGATTTGCATATGTGGAACCATCCTTGAATCTCTGGAATGAATTTCATGTGATCATGATGTATAATCATTTTAATGTACTGTTGTTTTCTGTTTGCTAATATTTTGTTGAAGATTTTTGCATCTATGGTCATCAAAGACACTGTAGTTTTCTTTTTTTGTTGTGTCGTTGTCTGATTTTGGTATCAGTGTGATGCTGGCCTCATAGAATGAGCTTGGGCGAATGGCCTCTGTTTTGATTTTTTGTAATAGTCTGAAAAGGATTGGTGTTAATTTTTCTTTAAAGGTTTGGTAGAATTCAGCAGTAAAGCCATCCAGTCCTGGGATTTTCTTTGTTGGGAGGCTGCTGATTACTCCTTCAATCTCATTGCTTGTTATTGGTCTGTTTAGGTTTTCTATTTCTTCTTGATTCAGTGTTGGTAGTTTATATGTGTCAAGAAATTTGTCTGTTTCCTCCAGGTTTTCAAATTTGTTGGTATACAGTTGTTTATAATAGTCTTTAATGATTCCTCGTATTTCTGTGGTATCAACTGTGATGTCTCCTTTTTCATTTCTGATTTTTGTAATTTGGATTTTCTCTCTTCTTTGTTTAGTTAGTCTAACTAATGATTTTTCTTTTTTGTTTATCGTCTCAAAAAACTAACTTTTTGTTTTGTTTATCTTTTTGATCTATATATTTTTATGGCCTCTATTTCATTTAGCTCTGTTCTGAACTTAATTATTTCCTTCTGTCAACCAATTTTAGGATTGAATTGTTCTTGTTTTTCTAGTTCTTTGAGGTCTAATGTTAGGTTTTTTTATTTGAAGTCTTGCTATTCTTTTGATGTAAAGCATTTACTGCAATAGACTTTCCTCTTAATACTATTTTTGCAGTATCCCATAGGTTTTGGTAAGTTGTGCTTTTATTTTCATTTGTTTGAAGAATTTTTTTTTTCGTTAAATTTTTATTTTGTCAATATACAATGTATATGATTATTATGGCCCATCACCGACACCTCCCTCCCTCCTCCCTCTCTCCCCTCCCCCCCAAGAATGTCCTTTCCGTTTGCTTGTTGTAACAACTTCATAAAAGTATAGTTGTTAGGGCCGGCCCGGTGGCGCACTGGATAGTGTGCCGCTTGGGAAGTGCAGCGGCGCTCCCGTCTGAGGGTTCGGATCCCACATACAGA